GCATCAGTAAAAATGAAGATAACATCTGCCTATTATCGAAAACAGCATTTCTCTGACATTGGCTATTCCCTTTCCTTGCTTTATTTTTCTTTATAGTATATATCTAATTATTTTATTTCACTCTCTCTCCCCCCACTAAAATGGAAGCTCTATGAAGGCAAAGATTTTTGCTTCTTTTGTTCACTGCAGAACCTAGAACACTGCTTGCTGCATTATAGGTGCTCAACATATTTCTGTCAAGGAATAAATCTGTTTTGCCCTCATTTTAGGGTTACTGTAAGGATCGGATAAAATAATGAACATGAAAGGGCTTTGTAGACTGCTGCATGTGATGATTGTAATATATTATTTTGGCCATTTATTGTCCAAATACTAAACTCTGCATTACGTCCTTCAAATATCACAGCAGGGATAGAGATTTTCAAAAGAGGATCCCCTTTGTGATATCCATTCTACAGTCAAGGCTGTACACTCTAAATGACATAATTAGAAAATTCAATCAATTCAATGTGAAGAGGATCAATCAATATATAGTCTGACAGTTCTTTGCCTAAACTACCAGCTAACAGACAGACCTTTTCATTTTTTGAACACTGTTTGATGTCCTGAAGACATATCATGGGTTTTAATCTGGTTTTGATTTAAATGACACGTAGGGTCTTGTCTAGGAAAGATTTTTGTTAGTAATAATATAATACATCTAATAATAATAGAATATTAAAAACAATAATATTTTTAAAAAGGCATATAGGCATACCTCTCAGACCACTTCAATAAAGCAAATACCTCGATAGAGTGAGTTATGCAAATTTCTGGTCTCCCAGTCCATATAAAAGTTATGTTTACAATATACTGCAGTTTATTGTGTGCAATAACTTTATGCTTATAAAAACAATGCACATGTCTTAATTAAAAAATACTTTATTGCTAAAAAGTGCTAACCACCATCTGAGTCTTCAGCGGCTATCACAAACCTTCAGTTTGTAAAAAATGCAAGATCTGTGAAGCACAATAAAGTGAAACAAAATACAACAAGGTATGCCTGTAATATAAATAATAAGAACTCTGGGCCTAAAAGAGTATGTATAAGACAACTCTATAAGCAAAATTCTTTTACATATGTTCTAACCAGCTTGATTGCTTTTAGTGTAAAAGGATTGGAAAGACTAATCCAAGATCTATTATGTGCAATAGTTCCTAGGTTTTCTGACTGACATATCAATTTAAATAGCATTCCCTGAGGAGAAACCCAAATGCATTTCATGGCCAAATCTAAAAACATTAAGGTTCGTTACACTTAGTCAACTGTCCTACAAATTATATTTTTCCATTTTCAAGAAAATTCAAACATTTATCTTTTTTTTTTTGGTTGGTTCTAGCATTTGCTTCTAGCATTTGTTTAGTGACTTGACTCTGGATCACAAACTTTACCTCCTAAACTGTTAAGACACTGAATGCCAGGTAAACCAACGGTGGAGATTCGGTTATATGTAGTTTTATTTGTTTTGCTTTTAAATGATTTCTTTATAGATTCTGCTAAAGGTTTTGCATTTGGCAGAATGACTTTCTTGTACAAATCTTGTGTAGGGGTTTTGCTATCATGATGGACTCCTCTGAATTATTAACAATAAGAATCACCCAATCAAAGAAATCTGTAACTAGATGTTTTTGTCTCTCATGACCCTTTTTAGTTTATAAGTTCAACGATAAAAGCTGTAGTTTTCAACACACTGCAAACTCTGTGCAAAAGTGAATGGCTGTCATCACAGTTACCATCTTACTTGCTACTTTTTCAGCCACCTTGTTTTAGACATTCATGATTACCACGGAGGGTCAAATGCAAGCATCTCTTCCAAGTTCCTAACTTTTTAGATGTTTCTGTATTTTAATACAGAGCTTCTTTGAGTTATTGCCTAATTAATTACCCTAAGTCCCAAGAATTTTTCTGATTTAAAAAACCAACTTTAATATTTTGACACCTTGTGTATCCTTCCAGAGTTTTTGATTTTAGAGATGACTCTTAGGCAAATATTCAGAACCTAAAAAGTAATTTATAATTCACTCACTGGAGCAGAGAATTTATTAAATCAACAGTCTTTTATTTCCTTGCCATGAAAGGCAGACTTTGTTCTTCTTGATGAATTTACCTATTATCTCGCTTTCTGCCCAGAAGGAATTCTTAGTATCCACTTTAACAGACAGCAGGATTGTCAGGTAGAAACACAAACAACATAGTAAGTGGAAAACGCCTCATCAGTGAACCCAAGTGAAATATACCTAGGCCAAGGGAGACTACACAGTGGTACTTTTATCTCTGGTTTATGTAGTCTCAACAACCTTGTATAGGAATAATATTTGATCAGATGCAGACAATCATAACAATAGTAAAAATTCCATTTAAATAAATACAAGATGTCAAAGACACACTTACCTCCTGCTTGGTTACTTTGGATCCATCCTTGCCCTCTGTATTCTCTGGAGACTATAAAGAAAATATTTTGGTGAATTGTACTTAAAATTAGAAAACATACTCTATATGGAGATTTTTTAAAAAGCTATTTAATTCTCTGCATCACAGAAACAAACAGATATTTTGTGGGAAAAATTGTAAGAGGATACATTTATGCACACACACACACACACACACACACACACACGCACACACAGTGCATTTATCTGGATAATTGCTCTCATCTTAACCAGGAGTGGTGCAAGAACTTAAGTGAGTTCCTATTCTCAGTGTACATTCACCTTAAGCAATTTTCATTCTTTGATGATTTTATCATAGTTAAAGAACAGGGACCTAGCAATCAGTGGCAGGGTGCCTGGGATCCACCCGCATGTTCTAGTCGTTTTGATTCTCTGAGATGAGGGTAGGATGCCAGGAAAGCCCAAGCCAAGTGCAAAAACATATTTTCATCCCATACTTGCCTAGCTTTGACTTCTAGCTCACTTCTCGATGCAACTTGACATATTTATCACGGGTTACTATTTTTCCATTATCAACTCCACACCTCTGCCACACTCCCAGCCTCACAGGAGAGCTAAACACCCTGCCACCCCAGCTGATGTGTTTTCTGATTTTGATCCAGCCCCTGGGCAGCACCTGCCTATGCTTGTGACAGCTCAAACCTAACTCCTTTATAGGCTGCATACAATGGAAAAATAGATTTATGACACACCAATTACCTCAATATATTTTTATTGACTAAAGACAATAATTTTAAAACAAACTAATTAGAAAATTAAACTATTTACACAGGATATGAATAGAGTTCCCATGAGGAAAAAATACAAAGCAAACTGATACTTGGCTCAATGTTTGGCTTAGCAAAATAAAACACGCAGTTAATTTTTTTTTAATTACTAATTTTGAAAATAAAAGTAGGTTAATTGAAATAAGAAAAACTTGAAAAATAAACACTAGACCAGTGACAGTAGAAAAAATAATAAATTGTAACAGACTACTGAGAAATTAGCCCAGAAGGGAACAAGGAGCAATAAAGAAATGAATAATGTGAAAGAGAGGTCAGGAGACTCAGTGGTTAATTGAGAAGCTCAACATAGTCATTTCTCAAGCAGAGAACAGAGGTCTTAGTAGAAAGGCAAAGACATAAGCTGAGAATTTTCCCAAATTGAAATCCTGAGTTTCCAAATTGAAAGCTCACCCCAAGCTCACACAAACTGGAAATAAAAATAAAGAAATATAATGAAAAAATACTACAATAAAAGGAAAATGAGAAAAATATTATTAGAGTTAAAAGGTGGATTATCTATAAAGAATTACTTATCAGCAACTACAAAGGTAAAAACATATGGAGTAATGTTCAAAGAGTTGAGGAAAACTATCAACCTCGAATTCTATACCCAGTTGTCATTCAAGAATGAAGGCAAAATACTGTAAAGACATTTTAGAATAAAAATATTAAGAGTTTATTATCAAGAGAGCCTTTCTTTCAATAAGGACCTATTACTAAAGGATCAAATTTAGCAATAAAAAATGAATTCAGATGGAAGAAATATATGAGAAATGTATAAAATGTTGGTAAGTCTATTACCTGTAGATAATAATACTTATTTTTTGTGTGTTTAAATTTTAAAGTTTCAATAGAAACTCTAGACAAGTGCTGTCCTATAGAAATATAAGATGTAATTCTAGATTTTCTTACAGCCACATTAAAAAAGTATAAAGAAATAGAAATTAATTTTAGTAATATTTTATTTAACCGAATACACAAAATTTTATCATTTCAACATGTAATCAATATACAAATTATAATATCTCGCAAATTTTGTACCAATTCTTCAAAATCTGACATATATTTTACACTTACAGCACATCTTCATTCAGATGCTAAGTTTTCACCAGGAATATCTGATCTGTATTTAGAGTACATAAAGTTTATAGTAGTTTTACTTATCTGGGTTGTTTCAAACATATTTAAAATTTCCAATAGCTGGATCTAATACCAGTTTTAAATTTGAATTGATTAAAATTTTAAAAGTTCAGCTCATTCTTTTTAAGTGGTTAGTAGCCTCATGAAGCTACTGCCTTCCATACTGGACAGCACAGTTACAATGACTACCACAAAAGATGAGAGTAGGATGAATAGATCAGAAGTTAACGGTCCTGGTTTTGCTCTGCAGGATGATACAGACAGAGTTTGTTAAAATAAAATTGAAAGCTAGAAATAGGATCTGTAAACTTACAAATCAAGAGAAATGAAATTAAGGAAATTTTAGAAATAAATGACAGGGATGGAAAGAAAAAAAAACAAAGGAAAACATATGATAAATAGAAACCACAAAATAAGTCATTAGAAAGAGTCCAAACACATACTTAAACAAATTATACTCATTCATTATAACGTCAAGTGACAGAAGAAAGAAAACAGAACAATATGTGTATATGAGTGTTTTCACAAATTTTAAAACATGTACAAATGAACATTATGGATTTATATATGACATATATATCATAAATACATAAAATCATGGACCGGAACGATACACACCAAATTCATGATAATGATTATCTCTAGAGAGGCTGAAAAGGGAATGGAACCAAGAGTGTGTTTCGAACTTGAACTTTATCTGTAACATTTTATTTATTAAAAAGATCTGAAGCAAATATGATAAAAATATTCAAATTTATGAATTGAGTGGCGGCTAAATAGAAATGTTATTTTCTAGATTTTTCTGTATTTAAATTTTTTATACAAAAATATTACCAATATGGGGGAAGGGGGAGAGACTAGAAGCAAAGCCCAGTTTAATAGTGCCATGTCTACTCCCTAACACAAAATCCGTGACTAGGTTTACTCACAGTACTTTCCGTGTTTCTTAAATACTTATAAATCTGATTCATACACTGCCTCTCCACTTTCTGCTCAAGACATATAATTCATAATTGCTTCATCTGTGCTGATATGAAAGAGTTGGAGTTGGGCAAGATGGGAAACTAAGGGCCTACAACACTGATTCAAAGCTCTCCCTTTTGCGCTGTAGGAGGAGAGTGGGGCAGAGGGAGCATGGATTCTTTCAGCAACTGATCAACTGTAATATTCCCTTTCTTTCTTTACACAAAGATGCCTGAGTCCTGCATCTGAGGACGCTAAAGTGTACCGAAGGGGACATAACTGTATTTTCCTTCAGACGACAATAGGACCAGCAGCCCTTATTAGAAAACCAAAAAAAGAAATTTGGAATTTTTATTCTATAGACCATCCATAAGGAATCAAGAGGAAAAATCACCCAATTGCTGAGCTTCTCTTTTAATAAATGGCAGTTACCACCCTACAGAGGGCAGTGTGTGGGTCAAGAGCCCAATTTTCTCCCTACAAACTCAGGAAGGTCTCAGAGAAAATGGGAAAATCCTATGCCCTTCAACGGTTGCTTGGGAACACTTCTAGAGGGCACTGGCCTGTGGATTTGTCACTGCAGAGCAAGGTATGGAAGGAAGCTGGGAAGTGTAAGGCCAGTATCTGCTGATGCCATGTTTCATAGCCACAAAGGAGAAGAAAAAGGAGGACTCAGGATTCTTAGCAACGAGTGCTGGACTTTTACATTAAAGTTCCAAAAAGTCCAAAAAGAATTTTCCTTCTAAGATTTTTAGTGACAAGGGCTATCACTTTATAATGTAAGTGAATTAGTTAAGAGCCTAGAAAATGTATGAAAATCAAGTTACCATCAGACAGCAGCCATAGAAAAAAATCTGGTCTCAAATTCTGGGTTATCTATGCTAATATGGAAAAGCTGGGAGTAGATATAACAGTGCAAATAAACAAACAATCACTTCTTTCAGTATGAGGAATGTGTTACTTTGGGGTGATTTTTCTCTAATTTGCTGGCCAATATTTTTAAATTATTATTTTTTATTATTTAAAATTTCTTTTAAAATTAATTTACATTTTTCTATTACAAATCTAAGGCTAGGGAAAAGAAACACAGAAAAACTATTCTGGGACCAAAAAAAAAAAATCCAAATAACTCAACCAAAGAAAGACTGAAATGTGTCTGTAACTAAGTCTACCACTCTTCTGCTAAAATTAACATATAACTCTACTACTTAATTAACACAACCTTAATTTCCCTCCTCAAATGGGGGCCCTGTCCACAAAATTCTTATGACATTTTCCAAATTAACAAGCAGTTCCCTTAAATTCAAATATGCCTATGACATATGAAATAGACACTAAAAATTTTATTCAAAGCCAGGCTAATGGCTTTGTTTAACATCATTTAACCTTAGCCTGGCTGTTTTCCATTCATTCTGTAGGTGTATTTTAAGACCTTCCATTGCCTTTTTGCATTGCCATTTTTTTAATGATTCAAGGATTTATTAAGTCATACACGCAAAACGTACTGCTAACTGCACACGCAAAAGATCAATGTAAAAACACTCCACAATTCTGCAATTGCCAATTTAAAAAATTTTGTTTTAGCAGTTAAAAGGTCTAACTTTGTATTTTTGTCAGTGGATAAGTTGTACAGAACTTCGTTAGCATGAGCATGAGGTTTGAGTATAGAGTCAACTCTCTGCCTTGCTTTTAAAAATAATTTTTAAAAATCCAACACTTAGAATTGAGCTATCACATGCAGAGGATTAATAATCAAATGAATATTAGATTTCTTTGCCACCTCCTCCTTTGCTTGTGTCTATTAATTCCATCAACTTCTATAAACCCAAATTGTTACTTATTAAGGTCATGTCAGGCTAGTATGTATTTTGTTGTTCAAGATAAAAGTACTGAGTAAGAACTCTGCTTTAAAAGACTTTGGATAAACTGAAAAAATCAGCAAATCTCTTTTTTTCTAAGAGATACTTTTAGGGAAAAATATCTCACATTGTATTCGGGTAAATACAGAAAAAGCCATGTTCAAGTATGTTTAATGAAATTTTATAAGCATAAATATACATAATTCAATAATGGGAGTTACCACTAATATAAAATAAATAATTTAAAATATTTTACACATCTC